TGCTGTGCCAATCTCAATTCCCAAGTCTGCCATTCTGGCGAGTGATGTGGATTCACTGCCACCAAAGTCCTCTATCCTTCCAATTTCTCTGAGGGCATTGATAATATCAGCATGATCCATAGGCTGACCGTCGGTAGTGATAGCGGATCCAGCCAACCTGTCAGCTCTTTCATTTCCATCGACGCCTGTGTGTCCCGGAACAAAAATAAAGGTGACTCCACGCACAGTGGACTTCTGTAATGATTCAAGCTATTGTCTTCGCACTGAACCTGCCTGAACCCTCCGGATCATACTCATTGAATCACTGAGTATACACACGCGGGTGTATTTTTGTGTTTCAAGCCAGGCAAGCGCTTGCGTCACTGCCATCACCTCCATCGTCATGCTGCTGGTTGTTTGTGCATTGTTCAGTCACTCCCAAATGGTCTTGACAGCAACAAGTTTGTCATTCATCAATTTACCACCAAGTGGTGCAGAAGCAGCCAATCTGTCTGCCTGTTTATTTTACAACAGAAAATATCCAAAGGACGCTAACTACCCGGGACCTCTGAATCGATGCTCAGTACAGAGTATACCTGTTCCACCTTCCACAGCATGCAGTCAAGTCATCATCATCAATTGTCTTGCTGCCTAACGTCAGTCATCATGCCTCTCCACAGTCTGGGATCTTCAGCAACATGTATCAGTTCGTTTGTTGACACCGCTTCAAGGCTGCCAAGAATCATGTTTCTTTTTCCATATATCTTTCCAGTAGTCACAAGGTGTTCCAGTTTCCTTCTTCTCATAACCTGACTTGGAAAATGACGACTGTCTCTTTCTGATGTTTGTGATAAGCTGTCATCAAACCCTCTCCTCTTTCAAAACATCTAGGTTGCTCTTTTTGGCTGCCCAAGAAATTATAAGAATTCTTCTGTAAAACCACATTACAGAGGTCTCAAGAAATTGTTTGGCTTGTTTATTAACTGTCCACGATTCAGAGCCGTATGTTAAAACTGGCTCATTTTAGCATGCTAGAATGTGTGTGTGACTGGTTCTTAAGACAGTGGAAGGCTGCATTTAGAGAATAAGCCGTTTTTATCTTCCATTTGTACTAGCTTGGAGACCAAAATCATCATCATCATAAACCACTTTTGTCCTTAAGCATCATATGGAAAAATAATTTCCCATCCATTGCCTGCTGGCTGGCACTGGGTATTGTCATGCTGTGAAGGCGTATAAGAAATTCCAGAGAAATTTGACTCAAAAGCTCAACAAAATGGGGAAGCAGAAAAACGTGCACAAAACAACACAACGTAACGTTTCGACCGGGCAGCCTTTTTCAAACATAAGTGAACTACACAAACGTAACAACGAGGAGAGGAGTGTATTTAGATCTCTAAGGGGTGACATGAGCAATGTTTAAAAAAATGTGATGTGGAATAAATGAAATAAAATAAAATAAACGATGGTTAAAAAATATAAGTTAAAAAAAAAATAATAAACAGTAGTATTGTTAATATATAATATAATCCTGGGAATAAAAGAAATACAAATGTTAATGATACATAAATGATACTGATAAGAAATGGAATAAAGTAATGAAATAAAAGAAAAGAAAAGAAAATAATTAACATTTAAAATGTGAAAAGAGTAGAACTATTTAGATGAAGGTATATTGGATATGGATACCACCTGGACTAAGAACGCCTAGGCTATGGATGAGGCGATTTTCCAAAGCTAGGCGCATAGTATGATCGCCAGAGCAAGATTTTAATGCTGTGACAGATATATCATCTTTACCTCTGTGGTCAGAGCTATTAAAATGGAGAGGGATTGGTTTAAGTGTCTTCTTATCAATATCGGAGAGGTGTTCCCGGAAATGATCAGCTAGCTTCCTGCCAGTTTCCCCAATGTATGCCTTGCTGCATCGTTTGCAGATAATTGCATAAATTATGTTGCGGGATTCGCAAGTAAAAGGTTCCCTAATTTGGAAAGAACCATTAGGGAAACTGACCGAAGAAGTCTGGACAACGAAAGGACATGTCTTGCACTTGCTGCGTAAGCATTCAGTAGTCCCACAAGGAAGTGCTGTGTGGATCGGTGGAAGTCGGCATCGGACAAGTATGTCTTTAAGGTTGCGGTCTCGTCTATAAACTAATCTAGGTTTCTCACTAAAAATAATCTTGGTGTCCGGATCAGAGCGGAGAATGTCCAAATGACGAAAGAATACTTTGGAAGCAACCACATTATTAGGATGAAAAGTCTAAATCAATTTGGGTCCATCACTAGTGGAATTACGTTTGGTAGGGAAAGCATCTCTCCTGGTGATTGCCAAAACTTTGTTTAGCGCCCCTTGTAGAATGTGTTCCGAATAGAAACGGGCACGGAAGAAATCAAGAAGTTCAACTGATTTATCCAAGAAGTCAGAATCATCAGAGCACAACCTGCGCAATCGAAGGAGCTGTGAATACGGAAAAGAATTTTTACATGGTAGTGGGTGAGAAGACGTATAGAGGAGATAACTGTGAGAATCCATTGGTTTGTAGTAGGCTGTGGTCTTCAGACATGGGAAATCGATGCTAACCGTGATGTCAAGAAAGTTTACTGAAGTCGTGGAGATCAGTGAGGTATGATAAACTGACATCGTGGTGGCCCTTAAAGAGGCACGCGTAACTGGGACCCATCTTGGTGCCCATCATGACCCCACTGATCTGGTCGAAATACTCACCATTGAACTCAAAAGAGTTAAGGGTCAGTACCAGTTCGGCAAGGCGTACAAGAACTGCAGTAGGGATGATCTGGTTGGACCTTCTGCCCAGAAAGAACTGGAGTGCCCTAAGACCATCAGAGTGAGGGATAGATGTTTAAAGGGAGCATACGTCTATCAGGAAAAGATGATAGGTTTTACCAGGAAGTAGCCTGATAGATCCGAAAATGTTGAGGGCATGGTTGGTGTCCTTGACAAATGAAGGGAGATTGGTGACAATCGGTTGGAAAATACTATCTAAAAATGCAGAAAGATACACCATGGAACAAGAGTACGCAGATACAATAGGACGTCCAGGGTTGTTGGGCCTATGGATCTTAGGCAGTAAGTACATACACGGTTTGCCGAGTTGGCTGTCAAAAACACGCATATTGTTGGCCTGCTTGGGAAGAGTACCCTGTGAAATAAATGATTGTACGTGTCCTTGACTTTCTTATTGTTGAAGACTGTGGGGTCATCCCTACTGGCGGAATAGAAAACAGGGTTTCTGAGTTGGATGCTGGCTTCCTCAATATAAAGATCCTTCCTACAAACAACTACAGCGCCCCCTTTGTCAGCCGATTTTATAGCAATATCGTCCCTCTTTCTGAGGAAGAAGAGTGCCCGCCATTCACCTTTGGAGAGGTTGGATTTAGATAAAGGCCTTTGTTCCAACTGTTGGATATTATGGAGCGTGTGGCTGATGTATAGATCAAGCGCCTTAGATTTACCAGCAGGAGGAGTCCACTGTGAACGGGATTTGTTGACCGTTGAAAGAAATATAGTTTTGTCAACAGGCACAGTGGGGGAGGGTGGCTGACCCCAGTGATGATATTTCAGGCGTAGACGGCAATGGAAGGAGTGTGCATCCTGGAGGAGAATAAGCGTTCATCATCGGAGAGGGGTAGATCGGGTGGGATGCAAACAACAAGATTTTGGGCTAGGGCTGGATTAGCAGGTGCTCCAAAGGATTGTGGGGGCCGGAGGCAGTTCATTTTATTCTTCTTGGTATAGGTAAGGAAAGAATACCACTCCTGATTGGTGGTGTGAATAGTAGAGCGAATGATCAAATAGGCCAACCTGTTGTTGGTCAAGAGCCTATGTAGATTTTAGACCAGAATATCAATCTGCCCAGTTGTTGGAGGTGGTGTTCGTGTGCATCTTATGTGCAACGCATGCAAAGATATTCGCATTTCTCCTCGATTCTGGCCAATGGTTGGCTGTAGTTCAAGGATGGCGGGCCCACTCAAGGATGGAATTTGGTGGAGAAACCTTTTGGGATAATTTTTGAACTAAACATCGTTGAAGAAAATGAGATGTAACGCTGGTTTTCTTAAAAGTGGTGAAAGTGAGATTTTTAGCAGTCAGAGACAACTCAGCGGGCATCAGACTGAAAGCAATAGTGATAAAAAGTAAAGGCGTATAGTGCCTTAAATGTTGTCAGTCCATTTTTTTCCTGGCTGTCCATCTTCTCAGATGTAGTCCCTGTGATGGCATTTGATGATGCTGCATTCTAACGAGATGGCCAGACCACTTGGTGTGCTGCTTCTCTATGAATCTAGTACGAGGTGTCATCCTCACAATCTCTCTGATGGTATCATTATTTACTTGATCTCGGATGGTGAAATTGGCGACTTTTCTCAGACATCTCATCACACAAGTGGTGATTGTATATGGACTTTAAATAAGCCCTGAAAAAGCACTTAATGAGTAAGTATTTTGTTATTTTATGCTTTGCAAAAGCAATGGGGAGCCACAGTATCATCGTAGCTAGATGCTCACTTGCAACCTAAACATCTTGGGTTCTAATCCACATGTGGTTCCCCCCCCCCCCCCCCCCTCCCCGGGCCAACCCAGCCTAAAATGAACCCCAGGAAGTGTCTGGTATTAAAAGGCTGGCAGTGAGATGTTGATCACATCGAGGGTTGATTGGTGAATACTAAAATATATAAAGCCTCACATGCCGATATGCCACAGTTACTTAATTTACTTGCAAAGCAGTTAATGAGCACTTTTTATTTTTTATTTGTACCAGATCCTGAATGAGTTCTTTATAATTTTCCTTTGTACCAGGACCTAAATGAACTGTCTGACCTCTCACCAAGCCGTCCTTCCAGCAGAGCAGGTAAAACCCCTCCACCCCCTCCCACTCGCTCCACAAGCCGTGGTGGGTTCGGTGCTGGGGAGATGATACCTCCACTGCCTGCTCGGAACTATGAACCTCAGGAAATCTTATCACAACCACGATATGGCCCTACACCAGGTATTACTAAATGCCTCTCGCCAATTTATGTATATATATATATATACATAGGAGCTGTGCGGGATAGTTTTCATTGATCTATATGGGAACTGTGGTCGATAGTTCTGTCTGGTCTGTTGGAGCTGTGGTGGATAGTTAGTTCTCTCTGATCTATATGGAAACTGTGGTGGATAGTTAGTTTTCTCTGATCTATATGGGAACTGCGGTTGATATTTCTCTTTGATCTGAAAGGAAGCTGTGGTGGAGTATTCTCTCTGGTCTATATGGGAGCTGTGGTGGATAGTAATTTTCTCTGATCTATATGGGAACTGTGGTGGATAGTTAGTTTTTTCTGATCTATATGGGAGGTGTGGTGGATAGTTGGTTTTCTCTGATCTATATGGGAGCTGTGGTGGATAGTTGGTTGTTGTGGGTGTACTCTTAAAAAATATGACTGCTGCTCTTCCTACTTACCTTCATCTTTCTTGACTGCTTCTTTATCTGTTAACTACTATTACTACTGTTGTTGCTACTACCACCACTGTCTCTCTTCTTTTTCTACTTTTGCCATATCTTCCTTAGCTGCAGCTGCTACTGTTACTACTACCACAGCTGTGTTACTACTGATACAACTACTGCTACTACTACTTTTATTACTGTTACTACTACTTCTATTACTACTACTACTGCTGCTGCTATTACTATTACTACTACTTCTATTACTATTACTGCTGCTTATCCTTCTTCTTTTTGTGCACTCTGTCTCTCTCCACTATTTCCCCATTACATATGTGAACATTTAATTATACAAAATATTACTACTATTTCTGTTGCTGTTACTACTACTGTTATTACTGCTGCTCTTCCTTCTTCTTTTTGTGTACTCTCTGTCTCTCAATTCATTACATATGTCAACAATACTTTCAGGATCAACATCCTTGCTGTCACCAAACATAGTCACCAACCCTAGCTACAGCGGCCCGGTCTACACCAGCAATACCAGCATTAGTCACAGAGTCATATCACCCCACGCCCACCAGCCGTCCCCTCACAACACTGTCCCCATCGGTGCTGAACACAGAGGACACCTAGTCTAAATCCGCCAACATGACAGCTTTATATCATCTCCATGACTTGCCAAATATCATCCAGAAGGACTTATTGGTGTACATGCACAGTTTTCAGTGCCAGCATTGTGTTTCACAATCATATTTTGTATCGATGTGATTTAAGCTTTATGAATGTATGAATATTTGGTAACAGACAAATAATATCAGCTTTGAGTGCCCTTCTAAATATAAAATCAGGCTATCGGAATCATTCTACAATCAAGCAAATCAACTTTAATTCCAATCTAAATTTTTTTTAATCAGCCTTACTCATTTGTTCTATAAATTAATCAAAACTATACTGAATGTCCTGCTCAATTTTAAATATCAGCTTTACATTTTACTAAGACATTATCACTCTTTAGCAAAAATCAGCCATATTTATTCAAAACACAAACAAATCAACCAAAATTAATATCATCCTGAGCATTAATTATGTGTTATGTGATTATTAGCGGATTCTGTATAATTATCTTAAGTGACAGCTGCTAGCAGAACCTCATTTCTCCCTCAACACCCAGAGTGGTAAAAGAGGAAGTGAACCAGAAGGTGTACACTACTGATGTTCTGCTGTGTTTAGAGTCAGTGGTGTGTATCATGTTATCTTTTTTTTTCCTGTGAATCTAGTAGATATTCCTCCCTGTAGGTTCCACAAAACTGTTTAGGAAGGGGGGAGAATGGACCAACTTCCCAAGCGTGTAATAAATGGTGACTAATTTGCTGAAATTGGATTGATGACTGAAAAGCAAAGATAACAGATCCTAGGTGTGTACCACAGTGTGCCAGTAACTCTTTTATGGTGACTGCAGAAGTAGAAGATCTAGTGATGTTATCAGGTCTATGACATTTCAAGATTTGTGGGCACACACACACACCCCTAAAAAATATATCAGTCTGCAACAATATTCTCTTATGGTTAAAAATGGTTTACCAGTATTGGCTGTGCATTGGTGTTTTTGCAGCTTATTAGCATATCTTTATGGTGCTGATATAGCTGGTATAAATGTAATGGAAAGATAAAGAAAAAGATGACTGTTATGCATGGAAATGCAGATACACAGAACTGTGATAGTGGACAGCTCAAAAGACTTCTTTTCTTCACACAACATGATAGAGAAAACTTACATCAGGAAGTTGTCGTTCTGCTTCTAAAGAACACAAGCACCAAAAAAATCTTCAAGGTATGAAGAAAATGGTATAGCAAGATGTGACCAAGGGATCTGGCTGACACTTAGAAACTGAGCTGGCTGCTGAAGATGGGGGCAGAGTATTTATGGGAATGTCCCAAGTGCTCTGATGTCAGTTCTTAACTCGACTGGTGGATCTGGCTGACACTCAACACTCAGAGGGTAGATAATATGACTGTTACTGATACCATCAGAATTGGAACTCTGCTCTGGCTGCTGAAGATGGGAGCAAAGCACTTACGGGAATGTCCTGAGTACCTTGATGTCAGGTCTTAGCTGAACTCAACTTATTAACAAAAGTAAAATAAAAATTGCTTGAATGTTTACGATAATCAGTACAATAATGAGAACACACCCGATTACATATCTAGGTGTGGAGTTTGATCGCAGTCTGTCCTTCAAAGACCATGTCGACCATGTTATAATGAAAGCCTGTAAAGGCTTATCAACAATGAGGGTCCTGGCCACCGCCAACATCAAGTAGAGACTGCTTCTGCTACTGTTCCAGGGACAATTTGTTTCTCCAATCAAATATGCTTTAGCCATACTAACCGTCAGCGATTCTCAGACTGAAAGACTTGAAAAGGTCCAAAATGAAGCAGTGTGCATTATACTGGGGTGCACAAGAGATACCTCTTGCGTAGCAGTGAGACATCTTCTTGACTTTCTGATATTGCACTATAGGATGAAGATCTGGAGCACTTATGCATACCTGAAGATAAGCTCGGATTTGAAGCACGCTCTGCGCAATGTTCTCTGTAGGAAAAATGGCAGCAGGCTGAAAAGGGGCGAATCAAGGCTCGGTAGGGCAGAGGATGATATCATACAGGTCTGCAGTCTTACGGACATCAGCCTCGGCAAAGAATTAATACTTGTGCCCCAGGTACTCAATTGCACCCTTTCCTGTGTTGTCACACTTGACAGGAGCTGTCAGCAGCAGAATCCAGTTGCTCTCAGTGCAGAGGTCTACGCTCTTATGTGGGAAAATTCAGATGAGGCGGATGTGCTGAGGGGTCTGTTGTACGAGGACAAAGAAGTGCATGGGCATTCACTGCGTACTCTGCAGGCGGAACAGTCCAGGAGGCCAGTGGTGCCTTCTGTATGCAGCATGATAATGGAGGTGATGGCGGTAATACAAGCTTTCATGTAGCTAGCATAGCAGGGCTATTCTCCCTTGTGTGTGCTGAAGGATTCCATGAGCACGATCCAGCTTGTTGAGGCAGGGGGCTTTGTTTGCGGACTGTGGATCAAGTCATTGCAAAACTCCACTATGCATGGAGTTACCTCCATCTTTGTCTTAGGATATGTAGGTGTTGTTGGCAATGAAAAAGCCAAGAGATTAGCTGGCTCTGCCTTAGTTACAGAGGGTTGGCCCATGGATCATGCAGACATTGTTAATGCCATTAGAGAGGTAGGACAATCAGAGGATTTTGGGAGCAGCACATCCAGATCTTTGCTGCTCTTGCTAAGAGTGCATGAATCGGGAGTAAAGATCATCACAGCCAGGCAGGAGAAGCACACCGGATAAACGACAAGTCTTGTCAACCAACATAGACTGGCATTGTCAACCTCGGGACGCTGATGTATACGTTGAAAGGAGAATCTGAGCACGTATGGACATGTCTGGAGTGCCCTGAGGATAACCCAAATCAGAACTCATAATCAGTCAATTTAAAAAAGAATAGAGACATGTTGCTGACTATCTCCTTTCCAGTCATGATATAAATTACTGAGTCCCTGCTTGGGTTCTATGGCCCCATTGTGAGAAAAACAAGAATAGTCCTACCACCTCACTAACAAGCTTGTTTAAGAGTTGACTGATTATGGGTTCCTTCGAAGCTGGAGTCCATTAGCCAGAGAGGTAAGAAACCAAGAGCCTGTGTACAAGTAAGCCAGATCTGTGAAACGGATGTGCATGCAAAACTCAAGTTCTGTAACAGCGCTAAATTTCAGATGTGGACATACAACCAGAACTATCCGCCAAAAGTTTACAGTTGATGTACGTGAAGAAGAAATTGCTGGGGAACCTTTGAGGCCATAGAAATGGTAGGATAAACAAATTGACATGTACTGACATGCAGTAGATAAAAAGGAAATATGTGAAGATACAATACTAGAAGACATTCTAGATGACACACAAACTGTTTTTTTTTTTTAAACATGATAATTACCAAACTGGAAAAGGAATCTGTCACCTCCAGATTTCATCTAAGCATTCTGCTATGTCTAGTCAACTACAAATACTTTGTGCTCTAAAATCCTAAAATGCTTTATTATAATGTTGCCAACCTGTGCCTGTTATTTTTATATTTCTTCCAAAAATGTGTAAGCATAACAGACCTTGTTGATGGGTTTTGTCTAAATGAAAGAAATAAAAAAGAAAGCGAGACATGTACAGTGTATAACTTGCCAACATTCTGGCAATATGAATAAAAAACTGCATCTATTGATCTAAGATGCAGCTTCTGCTGTGAAAATTTATAGTATTTGTGTGTTTTTTAATTGAAATGTTTTCTTATATTTTTATCACTACAATAGTAATTTATTCTGTGAGAGAGTCTTCTGCATGGTACACATATCTTGCTAGATAAACTGATGTGTATTGCATGACTTGTAATAATTTTTTACTTTGCAATATTTGATTGTTATTTATGCTATGATGACTCTCACATGTTTCATTTATTGTAATAACTTTTATTACATTCAGATATTGTTTCATTTATGATGATGTTACTTTGTTTTAGTGTAGATATTTATCTTCCTTTTTTCTTGCAGTTGAGATAATTTTTCTTGACTTTGCTGTAGCATGAACTGTTGACTTTTAGAAACAGCATTTTAAAGTGAAATCTTTACATAATTGTGAAGTGTACATTTCAGAGCATAATACTAGTCAGTTAGCCGACACTAAAAGAAATGTCCCAGGAAGTAAAGGGGTTTAGCATTATGTTTATCCTATCCCATTGAGCCGCAGTTTATCTAAAAAAAAATACTGCTCTAGCAAAATGTTGAGAATAAGAGCAGAGCATTTACAGAAATACCCTGAGTGCTTTGATGTTAGTTAACCCTTTCTATACCAGGTTTCACAGGAGATGCCAAAGCAAAGAAATGACCTAGATGAAAAATCATTTATGAAAATTCTCTGTCTAAAAAAACCTATGATTTGTGTTCTTACTTTTAACATTTGGTCAGAACACACTAAAGAAATCTGGCTTCTCTCAGTGGCTGATTATTTCTTCTAAAATTAAAGCATTTGTGATTTTGCATTTATGAATATCTCCCCACTTTAGTATATCCTGTAAAATCTTCTGGTACCTAAAAAGTTCACCTGGGCTCAGCCAATCTGACCTGCTGACAAATGTTGAGGGATTTTCTCCTTGCATATAGATCCTCCTAGTTTCCCAGCCTTATCAGAGAAGGTTTGGTTTCCAGTTCATCCATACATGTTTCCTGCCAGCCAGCAGTCACAAACCAGCCCAGTTTGGTTTAATGAAGTAGTTTTCAGAAACTTGATGCCAGTCTCCAATATATCCTCACAGGTCTTCCAGTGGGTTTCAGGGCTCTATTTTGCTAGAAAAAAAAAGAAAGAAAAAACCAGTGCCCCTTCCCCAGTAGCATGTCATTAAGGTAATTTAAAAAAGGGTTTGCTGAAATCGAATGTGTTGGACTGAAAGATGCAGCTGTAAACCACAACAGAATGTGCCACCCACCCCTTTAAGGGTAAATGCAGATGACCTCATATGATTTCATAGGGACCTCTGTTGTTTATACAGTTTGTGTATCTGAACTGTTTATGTTACTTGT